AGAATAAATGGATCTTGTTCTGCCTGCTTTTTTCAACACGAGGGTTAGATATCAAAAAAGCCCGTTGCTTGATCATAAAGCTGGTCCAACTAAGCAAGCTTTGGCTTTTTCATTCGGATGAATAAAGACCCTTGTCTAGAGTCTAATTCATTCTGACTGGTCTGAATTTTTGTGAGTGAGAATCCTTTTCTCTAAAGCGGCATTTTCTAAACAGCTGATTTCTTTGTCTCAAAATTTCATTAGTTCCACTGCTGTTTGGATGGTATCAAGTGAAACGCGAAAATCCTAGCCCTACGTGGGTACTTTTGGGCTACGAGTCATAACGGGAAACTCCAAAGCAACTGCGTTTTAAAGCTGAATAGGCAAATCAGATTGATTTGTTACTACTAGTTATTTTTAATCAACTCACTTCAAACGGATACCACGGAACACAGTAAGCAATTCTATACGTCTGGGTCCCGTTCTAAATAGAGGCTATACTTATCATACGATCACACGCTGCACAATGTACAATGTGTTAAGTTTTCATTATATATATATATATTAATAATGAAAGCTTGCCCTAAGCAGTCTAGGGCCGAAATATTTGAAACTACAGATGAAACTATGGGGGATATTTACATCAAGCATTTTGCTATTTATGATTATGGCCTGGGTGAGCGCTACCAGCGCTTAAAGAGTTTGGAAATGAAAATATTGCTTACAGCTAGAAATCAATACGGCAGAAAACAAGTCTCTCATAAACTCAATCCAGGCCCGATAGGAAAACGTAATTTATTCTCGAGATTGTTTGCGCAACAAGAGAAATTGTCTCGAGTACACTATCGCTACCCACCGGCATGGATTGGTCTGTGTGACCCAGCAGAAATGAGCCAGGACAGGACAGGAGAGTAGCAGAAAAAGTAACTTTGGCGGCGATACCGAATTTACTAGGGCGTAAGGCGATGCTAATTTTTGCAGTGAAAGTCGGAGATTTTTATAATTACGACTTGCTAACTGAAAACGTAACGGGCAGTGTTGCTAGATTGGTTAGCTTAGATCGGAGAAACACAGTCAATCAATAGCTTTAGCCCCACATCTTTTAGAGTTAAAATCGAATTGAAATTTCTACGGTAATAGAAATTTCAGGCACACAGCCCTCGTAAAGAGCTGTTGTAGCTGGCTGTAGTGCGTAACAAGTAAAAGAGACGGTATACTATATATGTGCTACAGAGAGCGTAGTATACACACATATCTCATGGTCAGTTTATCGCTACTATTACGTTCGTTAGTACCCTATATACACCATTTACCTAGGACCGATAAGACCTTGTTGTATCATGTTTAATAAGTGACATCCATCGACCCACGTAAGACCCTTTCGTGTAAAAAAATAATCAGCCTAAATTCCTATCACAGTTTTGCCTATCCCAAAACTACATTTTTAATGTCAAACAATCAGCGTGACATTTTCGTGCTTTTATGGCTCTATTTTCAAATGCTTTCGTGTTTATATACTACATTTCTAAAGTCGTTTTCAAAAGAAATGTTCTTATAGAGCATTGTCGAAGAGAAAGTGGTATAACTCAAACGTTTTTTGATCCTGTTGATCAGAGCTAAACTAGAAGCAGAAAAGGCTTACTTAAGACTTGAAATCAGCTAAGGTTTCCAATATTATGCTACTGAAGTTTTTACAGGGGTCGTTCATGCTCTAAGTTCATGTGAATCGTTGAAAAGCATCTGCATAGCGCATCGTCGAGACTACAAAATGTGGCTTATAAATTCAAGTTTCTAAGTGATTTGGACACTGTGTTGTGTTAGTCAGCTTTAGGTAGTGATACGTATCAGACGATCATTTGAAACAAGCCACCCTAACAGTCCTTATCGTCATTACTTGTACAGCCGCGACTGAGGTTAGATCTCTCGCCTCGTTATCGGACTCAGAATCTCATAATGGTGGGCGAATATTAAAAAAAAAGTTCGATAAAGATAAAGTGCGGTTCGAAACGGCAGTTGCAATTATGGCAACTTAATTTTACGGAAGAGATGCGGTGTCCGGCAGTTAAAACGAACTTTAATTAACGTCCATTCGTGTCATGCTTTTAACGCATGCCAAAAGGTTGTATGTTGTTCAAAGTGAGGTCAATTACCTACGAGTTTGCCCAGCAATTAAACACAAATGTAGCGGATAGTCAGCATCGCCACCGACGTGCAGAGAACGATTTGATGATGGCATTTCCAGTGCAACACGATCAGCTTTTCCTGTAAAAACCCGAAAAGATGTCCTTTGCATGTGCAACAGGTTTTATTGAGGAAGCGGTCAAGGTTTCCCAGAACTTCAGTTAAGTCGTACAGTTTACGTTTTCAAATAGACGGTTCCGTTTACGCTAATGTACCATCTGAAGGCGATTGTGCCTAACGGGAAAAAAAACCGTTGCTAAAATGACATCACAGCAACGCCGAAATTTTGTTATGGTACTCAGCTTGGTGTCCGCATGTGGAAATAGAATTTGTTCGGCGCGTTTTGTGTTTCCTAAGGTGTACTTGGGGAAATATATGGTAATCGATGCAACTATGGGATGATCTGCAAAATTCTTCAAATGGATTAAAAAACAGCTATTTAAAGACCCTCCTAAGTATTTCACTGTGGCCATTCACTATTCGTTAGAAAAGCCATGTTTCTAATCATGGATAATCACGTCACTCATACAGATCTAAGTACGATCAAGTTGATATCCACATCGCTATGCTACTGCTTTGGCAAGTTACAATGCTTAGCCGTAACAGTCTGTGGGCCGTTCAGAACTCGACTTCGTGCAGCTCAACAGAACTCAGTATATACATACGATAAATGGATCACAATCTATGACGTATCTAACGTAAAAGAAATACGTACGAGAAATAATTTACGGCGCCAAATATTGTTGCCAGAGCTTTAGAGCACAGGTATCTTCCCGCCGAGGAAAAATATACACAGAAGATGCTTTTTTTCGCCCAGTGCCACAGGATTATAATCGGCCGGGGGTCGTTACGAAGTCATATCTTAGCAAAGAGGAGTTTAGCCTTGACAGTTGCCACCCTATTATACAAAAACAAAAGGCAAAGCCTCTGAAAATTATCTCTTGCTCTTACACGACAACTATCGTTCTTCAAACATGGCTTGTTTGTTTCGGCTGTATGACAAATCCACCTGCGATCAGTTATGCTGATTAAACGTGTCAGTTTTACATAAACAACTGATTTATGTATATATACTGTGCATTCTAGAATATTACTAGAGCAATTTTTTCGAAGGCAGGTCTAAGGAATTTGTTGTAGTAAAACGTTAACTGGTTCAAAAGGTATAGTTAGAACACAGCGCTGTGAAATGGTTGAAACGACTTTTTTTCTTCTAAGGCCAAGAACACAATTTGAAGTAGCGTATGTTTAATCTTATGCTGCCTCTGTAATTCTCAAGAATCGTTCGAATTACAGCTCAAATGAAAACTTCCATAATTATTACCCAGACTCTAGCTAATTAACGAAGAAGTCGTGGCTCAACCGTATAAATATAATAACGTTTCAATCATTTCCCTATTGTCTTTTTTTTTTTCGTTAGGTTTAAGAGTTCGCTTTAGGTTAGGTCGTTTGCCTAGAAATAGGTACCCGTTTCAACGGTAATAGGGCCGTTGACGATTTCCTTCAAAGCAATGTACATTTAATGACTCATTTACTTTTCTGCACGAAGACCTCATGACATTTGCCGGTTCTATTTCCCCGTGCTCGTACCAGCTCCCTTTAGTAAAACGCAAATGGAAACTACTCATTTATATTTTCATCTCTACATGCAAAGTAATAATACGACGTATTTAACTAAAGTACTTTTACTTCGATTCTGTCATAGTCTCAATTAAATGCCGCCATAAATTATGAAATAAAAATATATTTGTTGAACATTATTGTTAGTCCCAACGACTATATTAGGCACGAAATCACTTGCTTGGCCTGGTCCAAGTTTTTTCTGTCACATGAGAAAACATAAGTTGTTCAGTGATACGATATGGCGATGGTCTGACGTTAGCACGATGCCCTCTTTCGTAAGCTTTCCCTAGCTTCTATAAATTTCCATAAACTGTTTCCCTGGCTATTTAAGCTCAAACAAAGATCGCAAGCGGTACTTAGGTGTATAATGCACGTTACTTCCATATAAACTATGCAAATGGTCTAATGTATATACGCTCATGAAAAAGACGCGTAACATGCAGGACGTTCATCAGAGCGTTATGCAATCTTGCGGGACATCAAACGAAGTTCAACTGTTACCGAGGTAAAATTCCATTCAAGGTAAGTCAACTTCTGTCATTTATTATGTAAATATATATTCGTTGAACCTGAAATTTAAAAAAAATGAAAGGAAAAATATCAAAGATTTTCCTCAGAGAACTTCAGGTTTCATCTGATACCTTGAATAATTGGCCGGATTTACCCTATCCTGTGCTTTGAGATTAAATTTTCCTTTTTTTGTTTTTCAATAATTATTTGCAGGACAAAATATCACCCCACATGGCACGTAACTGTCGGAACTTGGTAGATAATCTTATATAGCTTCATAAAACTTCTAAACACTCTGCACTTGTATAGCTCACCATTTCAGAATCACATATTTATAGATAATTTATTATGGAAGCGGATCACTTTTCTTGTTAAAGGATATCCTAGAAACTGGAGAGGCATTCAACGAACATAACTGAAAAAAAAAATGAGCCTATAGGCTAGATAGGGGCCCCGATGATGAGTTTAATTTCAAACGTATTTTAATTAATTAATTTTTTTTCAACAGAACTTGCAGATATTGTGACACTATTTGTGATACTATCACTATTTATTATTTTGGTCGTGAGTTTCCGGCTATAATAACTGTTACAAACCCATCGGTCAGCAACATGCAAAATCATATAAAATAAAGAGCCTGTGAAGTAATTGCTCACTGTTGCATGTTGATTGTTTACATTAGTTCGTTTTACTTAAGTTTGGTTGTTTCTATGACCAAATCTGCTAAACGCTTTTTATTTTGAAGAACCCTTAAACCACTATAGTTCATTAGTTCACAAGATCAATCTGCTTTGTGCAACAATCTCCCATTGATGTTATTGGGCAATGCCTGAAGCACAAGAAGAACGTAAAAAATTACGCTTCAAGCGTAGATGGCACAACCTCTTGAAATCTCTCCGGCGGCCTGTAACGTTAATTTTTTGCTTCATTGGAAAGTGTAGGTTCTATACGTACTTTAAGAAATTAGTTGTTATTCATAATATATTAGATGATTTAAAAGTTTTCTTGTTTTTTGCTAGTTCCACATACAGGAAAGCTTGAAGTCTATTTCTCCGGAAGTTCGCCTATGGAATAGGACAAAGCACAGCCTTAGAGGTTCAATCAGCTACCGTCAACTCAAACTGTAGCGTGCTAATGGTCAGGATGGACATAAAAAATGACACTGGCTACAGACTTCATTGGTCAGCGGTTATTCCTGCCTTGCCGCCTTTCTTCGCAAGTCTTGAATTAGCAACTGCCCGTCAAGGGCAGCGACCAATAAGCAGGCACCGCCAAATGTATCTATATCACTCACTTGCCAAAGACCGAGCAGACCTGCAGCAGGACGTAAACTTCCGACTCTTGCTATTGGTCAGGGGCAACCGTAGGGACTGAAAGCGAAAGAAAAAATAGGGGCAATGAAATGTTTTTCATCAAAGCATGAGTGGTTTTCACCGCCACAGCCGCCATAACAACAACAGCAGCAACAAAGCGGCGACCGATGCTAAAATCAGACTCTTGCCAAGATTTCCCATTTCGTCCAGCCGCTCTAGCGAGTGATGCCATCGACTGGGCTGTTACTTTGAGGGAGCAGAGCTGAAGGCAGATGTTAGAGAGTCGGAAGCCGTTGCTGTCGAAATATGTCTTCTTTTTGATTTGTCTCGGCTTTTCCGGCCTGCGTTGGTTTCCCCTGTACGCAGACTATATGGGTACTGCCGATGTTTGGCGGGGCAATACAATTCCTTCAGTGAACAGTGCTAGATGACTGTCCCGTCGTCGATAAGTTGCATCAATTCATCACTCTACTGCTCAAAGGAAAGCAGGGATACGCTTCCCCGGACGATGCTAGCCAACGCATAATAGCAGTTTCACGTAAACTCCGGAAATGTCAATGGGTTTGGGGTTGCAGAGAGAGCTGGTGGTTACACTTAAGGTACTATGGCGTATAGTATAATTTATAAGTTAACGATTTATTTTTTTCAGACACAACCAAGTGGCATCACGTCTAAGCAGATCTGATGGGCTTAGCAATATAGATTTTTTATAGTTTAAAATAGCCTGCGTTAATTGTTAGGTCAATCAAGAGCATTTTATGACTACTTTTACTTGTTAATTCTTCTTAACGCCCTGTTCTTCCCACCGAGGTATTATAATAATTTCATGTGGATGCTGATATAGACAATAGTTGTAGAACGACCCATAAAGGGGACTATAATGTAAGCGTTTAACGATAGTAAGCCCTTTGAGTTATCTAAATTACTGTCTAATAAGCCATCCTAATTAGTATTGTTGTCATATTTTTCAGCAAAGTTGGATAACCAACAACAAAGGTCTATTCAAGTCACTGGCCCTTTAAAAGGAACAGTTGTTCTAGACATAGCTTCGAAGGCTTTATCTAGACTAAGCGTTTCGCATCGCGTGTCTTAGGTTGCTAGCTTGTACCATTAAACGAAGTGTCTCTACCTTCGTTTTCGAAGCCTACAAAGCAAAAAATGTCGTTACCGTTTCACGTCTGGTGCTTGACTCGTTAGGCTAGACTGTTGGCTCTTAGCATAAAACGAAGTCTCTTTACGATTTGAAGTTTAATAGGCAAGCACACTATCGGATGCTGCGATAATGCGTTGGAAAATATGTTCACCCATGGAAGTGTCATTTTCGTCGTTCTATGCTAAACGCTGTTCTTGTTTATGACCACGAGCAATCCGCAATTTCAAGCCATGAGCTTCAGATCCTTGTACCGTTCTTATTCGTAGCGGAGCAGGGGCGCAGTTAGCAACTCCGTTGCGTTTCCGACCTATTTCCGCTACTGCCAGGTGTATGCAAGCATGTCGTTCTGCGTACATCCAGATGAAAGAATCAAACAGCACGCGAGTTTAGTCATAACTTCGATTAGACTAAGAGGAGGTAATATTCGGGGTAAATACAAATGGAATGCGTCTTCTTGCACGCCGGGCGTGCTGAGTTGACCTAAAACCTGGAGGCGTTCTCAAGTTCACTTCACTCCATTAGCGACTTCCATTCGTACTTATTCCACACGTCGCGCAGAGGTGGTACTTTCCACCAGCGGGTAATGAAAATACCTTTGAACCAGACGGATCTGCAGAGGACGCCGTACTCCGCCCACTGTTCTAGGATCTGTCGTGTTTGAGCTGTCTGAAGCAAGACTATAGTCGATATACACGGGCGTTAGTTACCGGCAAAACAGGCAGGTTGCCAACTGAATGGATAAATGAGTAAGTCATAGCTATACCAGATGAAATAATTTCATCTTATAGTAGTAAAGCAGTTACCTAATTTTACCTTTAGATTTATCGTGTCAAAAAAGGTATATTATATTAAGCTGCACTTGCGATATTGCGGAATGCGACTATCGGATGAAAACGAAGCCAGCAGCCTGAATAGAATACGATAAGTAAAATAGTTCAAATAAATCGGGAAGATTAAGATAGCTCGTAGAACATAAACGTCTACGATGATACGCCGGTACTGATATCCAAAATGCTAGAACGCTAATATGCGTTAGATTTTGATTTACGTACAGATTACTTTAGATTGACGATACGGCTAGTGGACAGCAGCGCGCTCATGCAGGCGTGCATGAAGTGAGTGCGTGACGAATTGATATAGTTGGAGCAGTGCCTATATTGACTTGGGGGTGTACATTTTGGCGTTGTCAGCCGGGTTTGTTATGGCGGCCATTCGATTTTATTCAAATTGTTATTAACATGTTACGATGCGTGCGTAATTTTACCGTTTGTTTCGCAACGAATCGAAAAGTGCTATCATGCTTCGATTTGTTTTTACGTGTAACAGCTCCTGGCAAGGACCTCAGTGTCAACCAGATAGTATCTATATCTATATTCATTAAAGTTTGGTTTGGCACTCATGCCCATGCTCAGGCCCGTACATGCACAAACACTTGAAACTTGTGTGTGAATACCCTTGTTTTCATGTGGTTTACTATAACCTAATTCGAAGTTTTTTTGAGTATCTCGCACGATTTAACAGGGAGATGCAGAAGCAAATAAGATTCGACCCAATAACTTCAGTTGTTTTTATTGGTGGTTTAGATAGCTGCATGCAAAGTAACGTGGGGGCTGGCACAGGCATCTGTTCCATGGTAGTTCAGACTACTTCGCCTCATCAGTCAACAGGGATACTTTAGACATTCTAAATAATTACGCATATGTCAATAATATAAACATTATTGAAAACTGTCCGTATTGGAAACAACTTTGTCATCCACGTCCTGTTGAAGCCCTGTCCGTCGAATCGAGCCAATCACCGATGTCTTGAAGTCAACAAAGATCACACTATGTTAGGCCGGTCAACGTAACATTGTATTGCCTCTCTCGTAACAGCTAGTGACAACTTAAAGCCATTATCGGGGCGTGCGGCAACGGTGCTAACCTTTTTAAACACAAGTTATAGCTACCAGCTAGGTGCAGTAGCTCTTTGTTTGTATGTGCGAATAAGTTTTTGTACGTCGAGAGCTTAAGAGAAAAAACTTGTTGCTGATATATAGTATTGTTTAATAACCCTTTGCTCGATTGTATAATCTTATCTATAATTCTTTATAGATAATATAGATTCTTCTATATTAAAGGAATATTCTCATTAACGGCTGAAAATGTCCGTACTATATAATATATCATTGTCTGTCTAATTTGAGAAATTTTTCACGGATATTTAGTCTGTAAATTGCCTCTTACATTTGTAATTTTAGAACTAACACGGGATGAAATACCTCTCTTCTTAATCCGAGCTTAACTTAATCCTCAATTCAATTTCGCGTTGGTTCATCTGTATTCCATGTCGTATCCAATTAATTCAATTTGACTGGCATTACTCCGTTTTCAGTACTATATTTGGCCTCGATCTCGCCATACGTTGTGTTGTTATATTTTCAATTAGCAAACACTCGTTTTGATTTCCCTTATTCTTCCCCTCAGCTCTCCCAGATTCCCCATTTACCCCAGCCACCCATTCATTCAGGATAGCTGGCACGAGGTTGGCTGGCAATTTGCCGGAACCCTTAGACGTGGTCACTGAGTCATCGGTCGGTTCGACCAAAATGACTGCGCTGCAGAGGAAACGTTTGCTGATGCTGGCGAGACCGGTAGTGTCGCCTCATCCGCAGCTTCTCTTCTGTACTCTCTTCTGTTCTTCGTGATCTTCATGCCTCGTGCTCATCATAAATCGATTTATTGGACGGAAGGAATATCTCCGCCGAATGCGTCGACGCATCGCACCGCTCATTGCATCTCCACGACTCTGGCTTCAGTTGCAGCACACGTCACACTCGAAATCAAAGAGATCGCCATTCCTTCGGGAGGCGACGACGTCTGCTACTGCGACAATAGTGACGGCAGGAACGCCGGCCAGTATGGCTGCGCAGAGTACCAACCGCGATGGAGGACAACTAATAATTGTAATAAAAATGATGTTGATTCATTTTGATGATAATAAGACGAATAACGATAATAATGACGGTCGTTTGTCACTACCGAAGGGAGAATGCATGCACAGGCGCGAAATGTTGCCAAGTGATTTTCGAGTGTTGAGTCGTTGAGACAAGAAAAAGATGAGTGAACCACGCACGTTTTCCCTCTAAGTGTGAAGAAGAACGCCGTTGTTCAAGTTATTTCTGTTCTGTCTTTTCTACCTCTTGCCGCGCCAACGAAGAATATGCCACTCTTCACTTGATTTCACGGCCTCCTGTCATCGTCATCATTTAAGGCTTTTGCGATTCGCCAAAAGCACTTCGACACTTCAACGGGTATTCGTTTTATTGCTTATTATTGCTTCGGCTTGCAACTGGCCCGTTTCGTGCAGAGTTTCGTCCGAGGGGTGCAAGTTGACTGGGAACTGCGTCGGTAGGATTAGTCAACCAGATGGGGCGGTTCTGTGCGATAACTGCCTTCGTGTTGAATGATGATTATGGGGCGCGGATTCGAAATTGAAATTACATATTCGTGCACGTTCGATCAGATGAGCAGGTTGAACTGTTATCGAAGGAAAGCATAAGGAATAGACCGGGTGATGCCTGCAAAATAAGCGGTAAACGCGATGGTGGCTGATTTTATCTGAGAGATTTGACTCTGGTTAATTTTTTGCCGAATACGGTAATATTGTTGCGGACCGGATTTGCGTGATTTCTTAGCCCTTACTTAGGGCGCGTCAAGAGGGACAACTAGGAACTATCCACAGAGACCTACTTGTGTACAAGAATATTACGAGGAGACGAACGAGTCTAGTCCTGTTCTCAACGAGTAAACGTTGTTGTGGAAATAGAATGCTATTCATCGTGCTCTATGTGAACCTGTTGAGTAGAAAGGTCGATTCTAATGAGGCCTTCAGGTGAGGATTTAGTCAGTAAAAGTATTTCGTTTGCGGTGGCAGCCAGCGAGTACGAGAAAAATTAGTCGTTTAAGCGATTTTTGAGTTTGTTACGAAACGCGCACACGTATGTTATCCGAAGGCGAAGCATTTATGCAACATATATGTGAAGCCGTTATGTTACACGTGTCGTGCTACGTGTGGCCTTTGACGAAAGTGGAGCAGCTTTTAGAATTAGGCATCAGTCTATTAGATTTCAGTATCCCAGTATGTGTCTGAAAGTATATTCTAAACTATTATTTTTATTTAATTTATTTATTATAGTTTAGAATAAACTTTTTTTTTCGTTTTCGTGCCAACTGTTGCACCAATATTTGACCGAATGCCAGCGCAATACATTACTCATATTATGCTTTGTCTTATAATCTTGATTTTGATGTAAAATGGTAAATAAGCTATACGTTCTATGACCGCTAAAAGCTGTATAAACAGCGAAGTAATTATAATCAAAATTAGAGCAAAGTTACAGTAGAAATTACATCCATGTTTAACTGGGTCACTTATGTATAAAAAATGCGTTTAAATTTCCTTGTGGTTCAGTGAATTTGGTGCTTCTTTGTAGTAGTATTCAAGCCATTCTTCTGAGCTAGGTGCTCAAAAAGCTATTCATTAGAGACGGTACGCGATCTTGTATATGTTCGCTTATTATATTTTGGTTGTCATGTCTACGCGGTGACCACAAAATATTGCCATATGTTGTTCAAGGTATATTCTATATGTTTCTCTCGTGTCGAAAGGGTCCACAGAAACGGATTGCTAAAAGTAACGTCCAGAGGTGATGCTACTAGCCAATTGTTTTTCTACCCTTGGGTTAGTGGTCGTATACGGTTATCCCTCCTGACCGTCGCGTTGCACTTGCCATTTCCTCAGTGGCTTGCTAGCTCATACATCGTAGTGGGCTCTTTCGCCATGTTGGCTGTCGGCTATAGGGCAGCGCACAAAGGTGCCGGCTGGGTTCCCACAAAGAAAGCAGATAAAATAGATGGCCGATGGTCGTTCTTCCGGGGCCTTTTAGGCCCCCGGGAAATAATAGGCGGTATAGCAGCTCCCACTATCTCAACACTATCACTTTTTCTCTCGAGCTCATCCTTTCCTGATGGAAAAAGTGCCGCCTTAGTACGGTTCGTCGTCGGGCTCATAATGTAACTCGGTCTATCGTTATTACGATGCTTTTTACCCTGAGATCTGTACAAATGAGATAGTTTAACTGAACACGGTCGCTGAAAAGCTTCCGAGAGCTGGCAGGTGCTAATAACAATGAATTTTTAGTGAAATCAGCTTCAGTTAGTTAATTTCGCACAGTTCAATAGGGATTGGTTGTTCATCTACATGTGACAACAGGTAAAGGAGAGAAATAGACTTGTGTTCCATGAGCAGCAATTGTGAAGATCGCAAATCCAATGGCGTGACAATGTAGAATCGGCTCTTTCCTCGCGATGGTAAGGACAACTGAACAAATATATTATGCGATGATGGTTTAGAAAGGGGTTTTATAGGTTTCACAACTTTATGGCCGATTCGTAGCATACATATATGTTGTGTAAGAGCTATCAGCATTGGATTCGAATAGAAATTTTGTGGTAAACAGTAGCGCAAGTTACGATAAGCGCGTTCTTGATATTATACTACGTATAAGGACAGATTAGTTGTAACGTTTGGCATTAGATGTGTTTCCCCTATCAATGTATGAATAGCAGGCCCATCTAAAGCTATGGCCTTAGTTATGGCCAGCATGAAGCAGGGAAGCATGAAAAAATTTTAAATAATATTGTTAAATCTAAAGATATTACTACTTTGCAACCTACACATCTCCATATGCATTTAGGTATTATTATTATTTAGGAAAGAAATCAATCGAAATGCCTCGAATGTTAACACGGGAACTACTGCATAGGTCTTAAGCTTAACACCCTATTTGCTTTTAAGTCTTTGTTGACTTACGGATTATCTTAAACGACTAGGATGATCCTAAAAGTGGCTGGTTTTTCTTTATAGTATCTTACACGTCCTTAAAATCAGTCAATATATGCATCAGTACTGCACCTTGGCGGAATCAGGGAAGGCTGGTATAAGCACTTATTTTTTACACTATGCATATTTGGAAATTTCGGCATCCATTCTCCTACTACTGTTTCTCTGGCCATTACACGATGAAATCCGTGTCCCAAGATGCAATAACATCCAAAGAAGTTTTCTATGCGATCATTTGTTACACAAATTAATAATTTGCTTAAGTGGTCGTGTGTTGATGCTCGAATTCTATATAGCACAGAAGAGTTCTTCCTTTCACAAAGCCACCGCAGTCGTTGGTTCCACAGGCTAGAATTGTTTACCTACGAAAATACCGTTTGCAAACTCAGCGAGCCATTTTTTAATAGTACCACATCTATTACGATAATTTCGGCAGCTTTTTAAAGAATGCTGTTTCATTTCGCCCGTGTAGCCATCTTTGGAACACGAATCACAGAATAAATATTAGTAATTTATAAGAAACTATGACTAAGTTTTTTCAGGTTTTCCAAAGTTCAGAAGCTCTTCGAACATGATAGCTGAGTATCGGCAAAAGAAAAATCAGAAAGGGAAAGCGATAAACATTTTCAGATGTCACCGGGCATCCTTGTGCCGAGGAAGTCATAGAGAGTCCATAAAACTGTCTTTGGAGGCTCCTTTAGGGCTTCCCCCCGTAGCGCTATGAACAAGAAAGTTAGAGCAAAGAATTTTGCAGTTCTCACTTGATGACTTTGACTCGATTGACTCGTGATAAATGTATATATGATATGTATAGTTATAGTTCCCATACAAATAGCTTAAAAAATCAGTGTCAAAATGACGTATGTTTATGATACGTTTTCATAGTCGTACTTGCAAAGGTTCCATCCAATCAGACTCGAATTCTACGGACCAATTTAGCGTGACCAAAACTTAACGTGGGTGTATGTAAAAGCGAACCTGGAGCCTACACACAGTTGTCGGCTTTCTAATGGACTTGCGAATACAAGGACTATGTTATTCGGATACGTGAAAGCCATTGATCGAAAACATTGATAGGCTGTCGGATGCAGGGCAATTCGTAACCAACAACGGTATACTCGTGTATACGTAACTGTGGTATTCCCACGAAAAAAACGAAGCCGACGATATTTCTTCGTTATGTGGTGCAGGTCTAATGACTCAACTTCCAAATCTTTTTCGGATGGAAACACCGGCTCGGTAGGCCAACTAGCTAGTCAAGCAGCGCAAACAACACCAGAGGCGTTATGGCCGAGAGAATCGAGTGTCTCAGATAAGTCTAAATTCGATACCTTTAGCAATTCCTTAATGTTTCAGCGTCCTGCATCGGATGAAATGCAAACCATGGCTTCACAACGAATCGATACGAACCGTCCGCTTGGTATAACTACTTTCACTGTTATTCCAGGCAACCAGATACTGACGCCACAGCAGCAATACATATGGCACGTTTATCCGCTTTCTGGAACGGGGCTGTCCTGGACTAGCGCAAGTTCTAACAGCCAGGATGAAGAGACTATCAGCCCAAGCTATCGGATACCTGCGGTAATGGCCCTACCAGTTACTTCCAACGGGAGTCGAAATTTCCGTTTACACAACATTCAACATCGAAATTCATATCAACGTCGCAGATCTTGGCAGGGCAGTCTTAGCAGAACTCCTTTGCGTTCCCAGGCTTCTTATGCTCGTCAATTGTGCGAATCAAGCGGCCTTCGGTGGAACCCGCAATCACACCTCGCTTCAAGTATAGGCTCAGCACAGAGGCGCTACTACCGGCGCTATTTGATAGAATAGGCCAAGTTTACTGAGTAACAATAAACGAAGATTCAAGTCCCTGCTCACAACTCCCAGGACGAGTAATTCTGCGCAGAGCATTCCACAGAGGGTTTAAGAGGTCCCTTATTAGTAATGGGTAATGGATTAGAGTAATGGGTCCCATTAATGTGCTTGGTTTTCTAGTCTACAGTGGAAATTGACCGATTAAGCAAACTGAAGAGAAGTTGCGCATAGTTAGGCTAATTATTGATCCGTTTTATCAATAGATTAACTCGTAACTTATGCCGTGCGGCATGCAAGTTCTGCGCAGATAGTACAGTTATCACCAGAAACGATTATAGTGTTTCAGTTAAAAGCTTAAACTGTACGTATCCTGAACTTAGTTCAATCATTCAGGTAAAAATTAGAACGGAACAAATAACTCGTCATGTTCACGAGTTCAATATTAGTTATGATCAATCCTATTTGAACACATCTCAAGCATATATGAAACACCACATTGATAAAACTAATTCATCAAAGGTGATTAAAAAAAAAAAATGTGTTTTTGGCACGGATAGCAGGACTTCACATTTCGATTGACTCACACATGAACGACTAGAGGAAAAATATCGAGTTTAGCCAGTGTATTCATGTAAGATTACGGACAATTATCTCTCTAAAATTTCAGCTGAAATAAACGGAAGTCCTTTCGAGATATTTATGAATAATATATGCCGCTTGCGTTATTCGCAGATCGAGTCGCACAGACTTACATGATCTCTTACAAATCATCCCTAGCCCTGAACAGGCGCCGAGGGTAACCGTCAACAAACATATCGTGCATCCTATTCTTCCTAGCGTTACCGTAGCCGAAGCGATCGTGCTTGCTCTTTTCAAGCAGTTTCTGCAAAAGTCTGGTCAAACCCTCATAAACAGAGTAATCTCAGCGTCATTGCGCGAGAGGAGGAGAGGCTCCACGAGAAAGATATTGCGAAGCAAGGCAAAAGCGACCGACGGAGAGGGCGTGAGGTACCAATTCGAATTCAAATGTTGCACAGTGACACTATCTGATGGTGGCCAGCGTCATTGGCGACATCGCTCCTTCTACATATGACAGTTCAATGTGGCGCAGTCAGCTATAAACAGACCAACAACAATTTCGATTGAAGTTACGGCCGAGCAGGAACCAACCACTGGGATGAAATGCTACTGGTATTGGCATAGAAAAGCTGCTTCACTAAATGCATTGTTACAAGCTTCAGGCACTCGCCGCTACACTGCGTAGATGCAGTGTTCTTCCCCAACATTTATTATTTATGATTATTGTCGTTGCCGTCAACTCGTCTGCGGTTGTTGATGTTAAAACTGGCGACGGGGCTTCACGGCACCAGTTCTCTTCGTCGGATGTGGCGCCGTCAATTTGGCGGTGCGCTTTCTCTCAGCTTCTTTTTTTTTTTATGGGCAATGTTTTCCTTTTCGCCAGTTGGATTTGGGAACTGCAAAATAGCTCCTTTTTCCTGAAGCTTCACACCTTTCGAATACACTAAATCAGAATCGGCTTTGATTCAGACGAATCAAAGGGAAAGATTTGCATACATTTTGAAACTGGCATTTATTTCTCATGTTTGATCATAGCGTAGCGGAATCTACTTAGAGAAAATTGCGAACGTTTCGTTTACATCCTGTCGACCCAATTTAATGACGTTCCTGTACATTTTATTGTTGTATATATATGTGCCATGCGTCTGTTTTATAAACACATGTTTTACAATAAAATGTTTGAAAAATTTGAATAGTAACTGACATGACTGTAACGTGTTGAAGCATTTATTTTTTTCCGTGGCTAAAAGTCAACGCAATTTTGCTGCGGCGATAGATATATATCCGAGTGGGTGACAAAATAGGTTGGCGTTGTTATATTGATACATTTGTGTTTTAGAGCGGTCATCTCCTGCGATCAGGTCTTTATAGCAACGAGTGTTAAGTGTATCTGTTTGATTTAGCATACTGATTTTAAATGACGTCAGCTGCCCCCACATGTTTAATGTTCTTGCAGGGTGCTGCTTTAAATTAGCCATTGCTATTTGGAAGCGTTATCAGATTGTACCGTAAGGAAATCAGTACTAGGTAGGTTACTTTGGCACGATCTCTAGAGCTAGACTCTATTAGCGACCAGGATCAGTAGGCTGTACAAAATAAATAGAGCTAGTCATATTTTGGATTCATCGTTGTTGCACAAATTTGAGTGTAGTTGCCTTAAGGTACATATGGGTGATATTTTTTTTTATCCAATGCACGTGCAGGTTCGTAGCTGCGTATTCTCTAAGTCTGAACGTGATCATCCATCTCCTGGATGCCGATTCGTGGTCAAATTGTCCTTGCTTCTTCCCGGGTACTGGCCGCTTCTAGGCACTATGCCCAGCGTATAGCCGTTGCTTCATGTTACACTATTCTATCTTTTGTCTCAGTCTAAGGAAGACATATACGATAGCCATTGGCAATGCATTAGTAGATGAACAGCGGTGAGACTGCCATTTCACTTCGGCGCCTTACCAGCACCGTCTAGCGCCCTTAAGCGACCCGCTCTCGATCATGTCGGCCTGCGAAATGCGCAGAACGGCCGAAGCGATCCTGGCGTTGCTAGTGATACGCATCGAGAAAGATTTCCTACACATTGCTCCACTCGAATCGCATTGGCATTAAATATGATGGTATGGTGCACACAGACTATCGGAGCCCATGGACTGGCGAATCTAAGCATCATCGGCAACAGTCTGTCGGCCTGCGTCGAATCAGTAAGCGTTACTAGTCGTATGGGCTGCATTTGGACGCGAACCCGTTCACTTTCGCTGACTGTGACGAAAGCCAGCCACCAAACCTCCACTGTCCATTGAGCGCAGCTACAAGCAAGAACAAATATAAGTGACGGACGCGCGAATTTCAAACATACGCAGTCTGGAATAGCGTGACTGAGCGCCAGTTTGTGTTGGAGAGAAAATGAGACAGAGACCAAGTGGGAGCAGAGAGGAATCGGAAAGACGGAAACGAAAATACCCATACGAACGACCGCCGATGGGTGGTCGGTCATCTGGCTTTGCTCACCGGTTCTGTTCGGCCCTTGTTTACATAACGAAAAATAACTTCACGTTTATGTTGATTAATTGTTTACAATTTTATACTAATTAAGACATGAACCTTAGTTAAATCTATTTGCAGGTACTATTATGGTTAGTGAGTAGTTTTATACACAAAACTAACATGTCATTTAAGCAACGCGGATTTTTCGTGAAGTTCACCTTATTACCCATGTGATTGTGTGAAGCTCGCGAGGTGGTTAAATGTCTGTTTGTATTAGCTCAAAGTCAATCTACGCCTTTGCTTTTTTCAAGAAGTCATGCATTCCGAACGTCTAGGGATTAGGATAATGTACTGAGAACCACCAGATTTGCGAGAAATGCGCGCAAGTATATATATATATATATACATATATGCTAATTCTATCCTCAACAGATACGTGATTGAAACACGTAAAAGAATATAGCTATTACAACTCTAAGGACAAGCTAGACTTATGATTAAGCGATAGATTTGACGGCTCCGTAGTTGGCTGAAAAAGCTCGGGTGTATTGATCTAACTTGTGTCGCCGATAGTGATAGATATCACGGAAATATAGGAGGTACAGTACGATATCTGTGAACACCTCAATTATGGTAAAACTTCCCACTGGCCAGTGTGCTTAGCGGTCTCTACAAATAAACCCTAATCAGCTCCGGGTAGTTATCTCATGCTGCGTCATACCGACATAGGTGCTCCTAAGATGGACGAGGGTTTTGTGAAATAGGACAGACCACTGAAGCTAGGCTAGAGCTAAGCTCAGATCTTCTCCACTCAGTGACCAGTGATCAAATTGAAATCTTAAGCGAATTTATTAGGCTCACCTTTAAAGATTTTGTTATGAAAGCATTTCGAGTTCTCACGGCTAATGTGGATCCGAATGTATGACCACTAGATGACCATAACCTATCACGTAAAAATGAAGAAAGGACGAAAACAACTTTCGAATGTCTTCAGATTACCTAACGTGTTACGACACGCTCATTTTAAAAAATCGCGGCAGTCCAAGCAGAGTTCAAAGGGAGCCCTGCTCCGTTCTACATACGGAAATTGCTTAGTTTGTTCGCCCAGAGATCGAATTAACGAAAGGTGATCACGTTCGGACTAACTGGCAGATTTTTACGGCCTGTTACAGATTTGGATGGCTACCACGTAATATATACGTGCGTTTTATTCAACGACGGCGCATTGACACTTTGAAGGAGTAACTTAATCGTATGTATCGTATCGGAGCTATATTCCTTGCCATAGAATACATGAATTGATGAACGCAACGTACTTTTTCGAGGTTTTTCTATTGCTAGCGATGGTAGGCGGAGCCTATTTAACGCTTGCGATTGTTTCTTAGAAATCGTTCAGGAACTACTGGTCCAAATGCCAAACTTCGACTTTTTATCTTCCGGCGTAGACGAAGCGTAATTTTGCGAATAAACGCCACACCTCCTCCCGACGCTCAGATTGGGAGAAAAACGTAGACTATTCGTTCAAGTGTATGATCCTGAATGTTAATCGGATCAGCTGAATTGATCGGACCAGTAACAGAGAACTTTTTTCTCTCAAATTTTACCAGATGAGGTAACAAACCTGCTGTAGTTAATGCTGAAGAGCTCTGTTTTATTAGAGTTCCTGTAGAAAGAGCTCGCTGGTCGCTTAGCAAACATGTATATCATTAAGTGATGATGATTCATAGCACAAACAGGTTACTACGTCAACCTGCATTAAGTTTTTATTCATTTGTTGTTATTATTGTTGTTAACATTGGTATTAATATTGTTAAATTACGCAAACAATATGTCAATACACTAACCCAATAAAATATTTAAAGAAGTAGAATAGCAATAATTTTCTAAGAAATTTTATAAATGTGATAATTTAAGTATAAATTTCATTGTATTAAAAAAATGTCGCTAAACGAGGTAAGCAATGTCGAAGCATCAAGGTATATCCTGAAT